GATATCTTCTTAACCAATAATCCCAAAAGCATTTTCGATCTTTGCTCAGAAGCGTCCATTGGACGCAATGACCATGTTGTAATAAAGGCAAAAACATAACTAAAAATTCCACCCAAACAAACAAAGAATTCTAAGAAAGAATTTCTACACTGCAATTTATGAAGAAATCCACACTTTATCCGACTACAACTAGTAAATAATGTGAAACCCTCGGAGAAACCTTTGGTGCGATTAAAAAGTACATTCCTGACAAACCCGTGAAAATAAATCCACAAAAACCACGGATAAATGAAAATATTTTTAAAGAAATAAGCAAAAAACGTAAACTATGGAATAAATATAAAATGAAAAAAAAAAAAATGGATAACTATCAAGCCTATATGGGCCAAAATAATATCACCAAACAAAAGTTAGTCGAGGCCAGGAAAAAATACGTAAATCGCAACTTAAACTCGAAAGTCTAACCAACTCCGCCATTGCCTGACCATAGCAGGGTACAAAACTCAATTGAAAATATTAATTTTACAACGGAAAAAATTGAAAAAGCTCTCAAAAATATGAAAAGAGACTCAAGCCCAAGGCCCGATAGGATTCCCACTGTTTTCCTTCAGAATTGTGCCAATTCAGTCAGTCCTTTACTTTCAGGAGTGATGCAAGAATGTTTAGAACAAGGAAAGATGCAAGAAGCATGGAAATATTCAATTGTGACACCATTGTTCAAGAAGGGAGATCGGCACAAACCAGAGAACTACAGGCCTATCAGTCTCACATATAACCCCCTGAAATGCATGGAAAAAATAATAGTTAAGCAGCTGATATCTTTTTTTCTAGAGAATAATTTAATACCCTCCTCTCAACACGGATTTTTGCCGAGACGTTCAACGACGACAAACCTTTTGGAATGCTTAAATGATTGGACACAGAATCACGACGATGGTCGGCCGACAGACGTAATCTATCTTGACTATGAAAAAGCATTTGATAAAGTCCCACACAAGCTTTTAATAGCCAGACTGGAGCACTTTGGAGTCAGAGGAAAGCTGCTCAATCTGATTGAGGCACTATTAAATAATCGACTTTATCAAGTCATAGTTAATGGGGAGCTTTCCAGTCCACATAAAGTGAGTATAGTGGCGTTGTTCAAGGTTCGGTTGTTGGCCCAGTGCTTTTTACAGCATACCTTTTTGATCTGACTGAATGTGTAAAAATGGCCACTAAGCTGTTTGCAGATGATTGCAAAATATATGCAAATCTTCTCACCAGCGCAGAGTTACTCCAGGCTGATCTGGAGAATATTGTAATATGGTCAAAACAATGGGGTATGAAACTAAACACCTCCAAATGCACATCAGTGCTTGTGATCGGCTCCAATAATCCTAATTATGAATATTATCTCGACGAAAGTGCCATGAAATCAGTAAATGAGCAAAACGATCTAGGAGTTCTAATAAGAACAGACTTAAAGTGGGAAAGCCACATAACCAAAATTTGTGAAAAAGCAAATTCATTTGTTTAGGTATTTGATAAATCAGGCTTTCAAAGATTACTCCATTGAAATGCGATATCCAACTATACATTTTGCTTTATTTTGATATATAAATTATAACGATAAGATTGGTGAAAAAACTAGATTTCTACCAACAGCATTTCTTCTTATGTAACTTCAAATATTCATATTTCTAGTTTTCGAAATTCCAAAACTTTGGATCGATTTGTCTGCTTTTTTCCGCTTACAAAAACCACCAATCGAGAAACTTCCCTTTCTTTTGCAATCAGTGTAAAAACTTTGCTTGTGAATTGGCTCACTTTGACGACTTCCTTTTTCGCATAAAGAAAATAATTGTATATAGGTACCTTAAAAGTTGACAATACTGCTCGGATCTTTTGAACAATGGGGTTTTTTATAATTATACTTATTATTATTTATTTCCAGACTTTACTCGGGCAGGTTTTTTTTTTTTTGCTATACGAAGTCCTTGTAGAGGAAGAAACTGTGAAATTTTCCCAAATAACCTGTCGTCATCAGATTACTTCATTGAACAAGAGGCAAAATTGAAAAGAAAAAAAAAACGATTAGCGGCATCAAACCAAGCGTTATATAAACAAAACGAAAACGTGTTGCTTCGACGCTATTAATTTTCGACCCTTTCTTCAGTCTCGGCCCCGTGTGATGTCGGTTTTAGGGGGTAGACTGGCTGATCGACAGGCACGTGGCGAATATCAAAATGATGCCTCTAACAGAAACCGTTTTTAGGAGGAGAGAATTTTAAATCAGAAATTAACGCTGACGTAGATCAGGAGTAAAAATATTTATTGTAAATAGATATTTTTGAAAATTTTGTTTTGAAATTTGAAATTCCTAACTGTGTCTGGCAAAATTTAAGTGCAGAAAGTGGAACTTTTCCGTTTGCCTCAAAAGTAACAGAAAAACCTTAAGAAATTAACCAAGAAAAATTTTATACACGACGAACTGTCGCGATCGATTTCTCGGAAAATTAACGAAAAATTTAGCAAAATAGCAATTTCGATGGAGGCTATCCGACATCCGGGTATATCATTTTTCAAATTACGGCACTTCCGGGCATACGACGGAAGTTGATGTCAACTTGCCTATTTTAAATAGGACAACCAATTAGAATATGCGAAAAATAAAATTCTAGACATAAATTATAAATAATACACAAGGATGCCACGGAATAACTTGAAGTATGGGGATTTTGGAGACCTATTGAATATACAGGGTGGACCAAACGGGGAAAAAATTGCACAATCAATTGTTTGTGTGTGAAAAGTCTATACAAATAATCTGGATTTCATAAAAGGTATTTTTTTCTTTTCTGCCCTGTACGTATATCCGTTGCTATTCCGATTTCAAAGAAGTTGATGACATCAGATTATTTGTAGGCACCTCATTGCGCAACTTTTTCCCCATTTGGTCCACCCTGTATCATCAATGGCTTCCAAAATTCCCAAGTTATTCCGGACACCCTGTATAACAATTTATATTATATTCTAGGATGTCCTATTCGAAGTATGCAAGTTAACATCAAAACTTTTGGTATAACCGGAAGTGCTGAAATATTTCACCCGGACACATGTACAAACTTTTCATGGTCTATTTTCCGAGAAATCGCTAGTGGCAGTGCCACTAGGAAAACGGAATCGATCCGTTCGTAGGTCGATCGAGTGTACGCCACTGGTATTTTCCTGTTTCTATTTCGTCTCGTCTCGAAGTAACTAACTTTTCGAGAGGAAATTTGTCTCTCGTCTTGTCGAGACGAGACAAGACAAGACGAGAAATATATGCAGCAAAAATGTATAGCATATATAATACTAAAAGCACTACATTAATTACATGAACCTTAACTCTTAACTAAATGCTCTGCTCAACAGCTCAACCCTAATATTTCATCCCTCTCAGACTATTTTTGGGTAAATCAAACTCTGAAAATAAGTAAATTCTGAACTTACAATTTTAACATCCCTCATCCTAAGTGTTTAATAAGTTCGACTGAGAAATTATAATTTTCTTCTAAGATTTTATGCAAACAATCAGTTTTAACTTTGAAGCCATCTCACAGAAAAACTATGTAGACATGGATTAACCGTCCATATAAGCGTAAGCGATCGTTCCGAAAGTGGAAATTAAAGTAAAAAATAAACAATCAATTTATGCTTCTTATAAATCTAATTTACTTCAATACAAACAAAAATATACATAACATATAGAGCGCTCTATTTAAGACTATCAAAAACTAAAACATTATATTAAGCGTAATTGGGTAGCCAAAATCAAGTTTCATCTTAAACGAACTTAACCAATATAAGCGTAGGGCGAGTAAGGATAAGCTCCGTATCCGTAGCTGGCATAAGAAGGATAAGCGTATCCATAATATTGTGGTTCTGGGTAGGGTCCAGGAAAAGCTCTTGGAGCTGCTAATGTAATAGCAAAAATTGCCAAAAGGAGAACAACAGCAACAATCTGGAAGAGGCACTTAACTGAGCCTTTATAAAAACTTAAAAATTTACTTACGATTTTTGCCATATTGTTGATTACTTCACGAAACGTTTCTGTCGAATACCAATTTTCACTTTTCGGACTGTCTCTTTTATAGCTAGGAGCAAATCTTTATTATAGAATGAATGGCCATTAGGTATTCAAAGCACAAATTTCCTGTTGACTTTATCATATAGATTTATGTTGCCAAAGTCGTATTGATGGGTCGTTTTGGAAAAACCCTAACAGCCGATTTAGTCAGTTTTTAATAATAATTATTGGGTAGTCTTTGTTGCTATTACTTTTGCACATTATCATTATTGCCATCAGAATCATTATAATATAATTACATACTTTGTTTACTAAAAATAATGGGGATACATTTTTACCATCAACCGCATTTTTTGCTGTTTTCCTTTGAGTATAAATTGCAACCAAAAAGTGGTTGAACCATGATGATAAGATAAAAAAAAATTGCGAATTTTTAAACCTGTCCTTGTTGCAAAACCAGAATTTAATGAGATCGAACCACTGAGGAAATATTACTTGGATTGTTTTATGTTTTTAAAAGTTACTTTTAGTATTTTTCACTAATAATAATTGTTTCTAATTTTGGTATTGTAACACATTCAATCAAGTTAGGTATTATATTACGTTTATTGGTGGAAAATAATAATGCAATGATTCCAAAGAGATATAGGTAGATTGTAGCCCTTATGTATATCAACTTTGCTTTATTTTATTATAAAATATTCTTCATCTTCTTTCTTAAACCTCAATGGTCTAAATTGCTACTCGGACGTAGGTCAGTGCTACCTATATGTGCATTTTTTGTCTTTTTGTTCTTCTTCTTTGGTGCCGGCATGAAAATCTCGTAAATTAACAGGCCGTACTTGAATTCCTTGAAAAATAGGTTCCAGGAAGAAAAAATGCAAAGTTGTATATAAGGCCTCTCGGTGCCCGAAGATGGACAGAAGTTGTCCTACAAGTGACAAGTCTAAAAGTGATATTTTATTATCAAAATGTTCAAACTGGTAAGAATTATTTTAGCGTATTAATGGTTTTAGAAATTTTTTGATTCAGTTTTAAAAGGGATTTTGATGGAAATTATTAGGAATCTTTTTCTTAGCCCTTAAAAATGTATAGGAAATAATTTGATACTCCTTGCTTTTTTTAAAAATTGAAGCCCTAGGACTCGGTGCCCCAAATAAGGTTCATTGGAGCCCTAGTTGAAATCTACAATTAGATAAAATTTAGAGCAGATAACTTTTCTAATTTTTGAAAATATGTCTGAACTATCCCTTAAAAAAATTTCAATTTTGATTTTTCAAAACAGGGGGTCACATTTTGTGCCGTGGAAAAGCATTTTCGTGATTTCTCTTCTCGAGGATTTAGGGCCTGTAAAAAATTAAATATGATTTTTGCATTTTTTGCCCTAAAAAATTTTGATCATCCGACATTGCGTTACAAAATCGCACATAACTCAATTAATATTTCACAAATTCTAATGCATATTTGTATATTTCTAATCAGAATTAAATGCTCTTAAAGATAGAGCAAAATTGAATTATTTATCTCAAGTAGTTTTCGAGATATTGAGCCTCAAAGTTGAAACTTTGCCTCAAATTTTGGAAAACCTTCAAAGCCGATTATCTTGAAAATGAAGCCCTAGAGCTCGGTGTCCCAAATAAGCTTTTTTTAAGCCCTAATCGAGATCTGCAATTAGATAAAATTTCGTGCCGATAGCTTTCCTAATTTCCAAAATATGCCCCTTTGGAATATTTGAAAACGAAATCTCTGCACCCCTAGAAAAAAATCAATTTTGATTTCTCCAATTTTTTTCATTTTTTACTTTACCAATCGAAAGAGAGGGTTAAATTTAGTGGGAAAGCATTTTCGTGATTTTTTTTTGGGGTTTAAGGGCCTGTACAGGGCCCTGGAAAATTTCGATCATCCGACATTGCCTAACAAAATCGCACATAACTCAAGTAATATTCTACAAATTCTAATGCATATTCATATAGTCTTAATCAGAATTAAATGTTCTTCAAGATAAAATGAGATTGAATTATTTATCTCAAATAGTTTTGGAGATATTGAGCCTCAAAATTGAAATTTTGTCTCAAATTTTGTAAAACCTTTAAAGCCCATTAAATCTTGAAAACGAAGCCGTAGGGCTTGGTGTCAAACTAAGCTTTTTTGAAGCCCCAATCAAAATCTACAATTCACTGAGTGAATTTCATTGGTTGAAACTAGCTTTCTGACTGTTTTCAGTCAATGAAATCCGCTCTGACTGGTTTGTGATTTCTGTGCGAACTGACCTATTACCTATTAGGGGCAAATCGCATAAAATCTCAGACATTTTTTAGCCCGTTTCTGACTCATCTTTGAAGGGATTTCAATAAAAATCAATATAATATCAAATAATATCGAGATAATTTCATAATTAAGAAGTTATTGTTAACTAACACAATTGTTCAAATAAAAACACATTTCTTCATAAAAAGACGTATATTATAATAATCTTAAATGCCAATACCGCTCGAGTTTACGTTCAGAAACGAACTACCTAGGTCTCAATTTCTCTCTTCTGTCTTTGTCTGAAAAAATGCCACTTTCATAGCCGTAGGGTTAACCCCACACGTTGAAATAGTTGCAAAATGGTTTCAAAGGGACTTTAAACCTGATGAAAAGTCAGTAGAAGGAATCGAAATGTCATCCAAGTATGCAAGAGTGATAGTAATCCTAAAGATTTGGTTTACTGTTCTTTGAAAAACTGCTGGAGCATTTGCTAATCCGAATGACATCATCGAGTACTCGTAGTGTCCATCTGGGGTTATAAAAGCAGTTTTTTCAATGGAATCTTTTGCTATCGGTATTTGGTGATAACCACCGGCCATGTCTAAAGATGTAAAATATTCGCAATCCTTCAATCATCCAAGATGATCATCAGTTCGAGGGAGACGGTAGCAATCTTTTAGCGTTGTCTGAATTAAAGCTCTATAATCAACGCACATTCTATTCGTTCCATCTTTTTTTTTTGACTAATAAAATGGGACTCGCGTTAGGAGGGTTGGATTCTTATTGTATTATATAGGTACCCATTTTCAGCAGATCTTGCACAATTTCCCGTACCGAATCTCTCTCGCTCATCGAAAGACGGTAAGGTCGATACGTCACAGGCTTGAAGTCGCTCAGCTGAATACTCATTTCAGCACCTTTCACACAATCCAATTCTTCTCATTTTCCTCGGAAACGTCATTTGGTAAGCATACCTGGCCTATTACTTGCGAGACCTTGAATGTCAGGTCAGAATTAGAAATGTTGAAGATGGGTAACATTCTACTTTTTGATGAAACCACCCAGCTGGGAATCGAATATTCCGCCGATGGTACCATTCGAGTCACATGACCTATATGTCATGATTAGCAAGAATCGTAACCTGATTATCGACGAACCTCTTTATTTTACTAAGTGGAAGGCTATCTATTTTAGGTAACGGCAACAATTGGGATTTAAATAGTCACACTTTTTCATTTTTCACGACTAATACTACATCAGGATGGTTTAAAACAGTTTGTCCTATACACCTTGTATATTGTCAGAAACAATAGGAGCTGAAACAATTACATTTATTAGATCGACTTCAATGTTCACTATTCACTTGTGCAGTCCCCAAAGCATATGCAGTACCGCCGGCATAGCCACTTATTTTTATGCTGCAGGGCTGCCATGAAATGTTTTTCAGCAGTGGTTAAGCCTATAGTAAGGACCACACACCCTGAATCAATAAGTCCGTCACAGGAAACTCCATTCACTTTACAAGTAACTTGATAGCATTTTTCAAAGTCCTGGTTTTCTGTTTGGAGTGTCAAAGCTGTAAAACAGCATTATTGTTTTCTCTTAATCATCGTTTACTGATGATACTCTAGGTGGTGATGGCGCGTGTAGCTTACAGTTTCACAAGACAAAGAAGTTTTCTTTGTTTTGTGTCGACGCTTTGCAACCGTGCTTTCACTCTCGAAAGTAGATGTCAATAAAGAGGACGACTTATGCCTCCTTGTTTTTCCCATTCTGAAATACGCTACTAACACCAAGAGAAATATCCAAAATCAATCTATGTAATCAATAACACTTTATTTTAGTCCAAAACACACTGAATAATCAAGTCTCCTCGAATAGAGCGTAATTAGCCCGCCGTTGCTTTGTTAACTAACACATTTGTTCAAATAAAAACACAGTTTTTTACAAAAATACGTATATTATAATAATCTTAAATGCCAACCGCTCGAATTTACATTCAGAAACGAACTACCTGGGTCTTTATTTCCCAAGACCCTTCCAATCTTATCTTATTTTCTAGCATTATAGAAAGTTCCCTGATGGTTAATTAACTACACTTCAAAAGTCTGAAATGTGATGAGTTGTTGAAGCTATAAATCAACAGAAAAAAGGAGTTCTTAGGTACCTACCTACGTAAGAAGTAAAAATTAGTGGAAGTTGGAAATTCCCTAGTTAGCTTATAAATGAAGTGTTTTAGAAATTTATCATTTAAACGGTTATTTAATAAAGAACAGCTTATAAATAAAACATTTCAGTACTTACATTGGATATTAACTATTTTGTCTTACGTATATGTATTTTGTATTGATAAATAATTGGTTATTTTCCTGTGTCTCATACAAAAATAGCTTTTTCCACATTTTGGATTAATATTTGTTATTAGGAAACTTTATCATTTTATTGTAGTGATTATTGATGCTTCTGTTAACGACTTTAGGTATATGTATAAGCATACAAAAATCCTGATGAAACTTTTTCAATTCCAGCTCGCTTTCTTCGCTCTGTTGGCCTGCGCCCTTTGCGCCCCAGCGCCCGAACCCAGAACAGGCCTGCTAACCTACCCGGCAGCACCTTTACCGCTCAGCTACGACTACAGATATCCAGCTCTAGCTCCGACTTACAACTACGCTAAAGCGTACGCTTACAGCGGCAACTACGGCTACGCTTACGCTCCGCAAGCTTACATTTCTCCAACCCAGTATTACTACAATGCTGCCCCCTTGGAGTACGTCATCTAAAAGCGAAGAAATGGACCGTTTTTTTTTTTTTTTGACTGATTAGATTTAGGAGAAAAAAAAATAATTGTCAAGTCCGAAAACGATTAAAACTTCTTTGAAATAATTAGTTGTTGTTTTTTTTTTTCAATACAAATGTCAAGGATCGAGATTGATATCCTGGTATGACCAACCTACATTAGGACCACTATTTTAGGCTACCGCTATTGTTTTTAAACCTGATTTCAACCACGCCTTTATACATAGTATGAGGTATTGGTGCAAAAAAAAAATAATAATAATGATATAAATAGTCAAAAAAGCTTTAGGAAAATTATCAGTTAGATTTCACCGTCTAAAAGAAGCAAATCAAAATGTTCAAACTTGTAAGTACCCAGTTATTTAAATATGTATGTTTTGAGGCTCATCTCCTAGGAGTTTCTAGCCCTCAAAACTAGTTGATTTTTGTCTTTCAAAACTGAAACTTTTAAAACTTTCAATTTGAACATTCCTAGAAATCGAATTGAACTTATAATATATGGCTTTAACTTCTTACAGATAAAATGTACCTAACGTTTATACCTAATCATCTTTATGTTCCCAGATCGTCGCTACCATCGCTACAATCTTAGCTGTAGCCTCAGCAGCACCCAAGCCTGGCTTCATCGGTGCCCCTGTAGCTTACAGTGCTCCATTGGTGTCAACATACGGCGCTGTTCCAGCTTACGGAGCTGTTTCAACTTATGGAGCTGCTCCAGTTGTATCCGCCTACGGAGCTGCTCCAGTTATATCTGCATACGGAGCTGCCCCAGTTGTATCCGGATACGGTTCTCACTTGGCTTATTCCGCTCACAGTCCTGTAGCTTATTTGGGTTGAGATTTTAATTTTTCTGTTGGAAAATTTGATGATTTAAGTTAATAAATGATAATGAATTTTAGGCAAGATATTCACGTTGTTTTTTTTTTCTCAACGTCATCTGCAAAAATAAAACATTATCCTAAAAGATAGACAATTTATTCTTATGCATGACCAGCATTTATTTTTAAAGCTGCATTTTGAATATAAATTAATCTATTTATGCTCTATGATACGTGGCAGAGTTCACTGTTGATAGATGCTACAATATTTTCAAGTAATCAACATGATTTTTATTAGTAATTATTTTTTGTGTTTTTTATTGGTAAGTAACAATTTTCTATTTTAAAATAGTTGTTGTTTAGTTGGATAAATAGAGGAAATTCAAAAGCATTGGGGCCGCGTAAGTCGCATTTTAACAAGGGGGGTCAGCATATGGAGTGTATATGAAAAGGAAGAAAATATTCTTCTTTAGAACATCATATTACACAGGAATCGTTAATTCTTCCTAAAATTTTTGTTTGCGAAAGCCAGAATTTTATACTTTTTATAGCTAAAAATTCATTATAGGTTTTCTGAAAGAGGATTAAATTCTCTATAAATCCTGTAAATTTGAATTCAGTTGCTTTTATAGGTTTTGAGAAATTGAGCCTGAAAGTTAGAGTTTTACTAATATTTCATCCAAAACTTCAAATTCAAATTGCTCAAAAACCATAGGTGGTACCTACAAATATTTTTCAAATACCACATTAAAGCATCTAATGAGAGCTACAATGTCAGAAAAATTTGGCTCGATAGCTCTTATGGTTATCGAGATATCACACATGGAAGATTTTGAATAAAAAATTCAAAGGGGTAAGTACCTACCTTAAAAAACGAAATTTTCCATTTCTAATTTTTTTCAAATTTTGACTTTTTCAATCGAAAGAAGAGGCAAAATTAGTCTAGGACAAGTCTTACATTTTCTCAACCAGCAGATTTAAAAAATTGTAAAAAGACATGAAAAAAACCATCCTTTTTAGCCCATGGAAAATGTTTGATGTTCTTAGAAATTTGCTCACGGTTTCCGTAATTTTCAACGAATCGACTTAAATTATAGGTTTTCTGAAAGAGGCATAAATTTTCTATAGATCCTCCAAATAGTCCAAATATAAATTCAGTTGCATTTATAGGTTTTGAGAAATTGAGCCTCAAAGTTAGAAGTTTGTTGCTCAAAAATCACTGGAGGTACAAATATTTTTTAAATACCACATTAAAGCATTTAATGAGAGGTACTATCTCAGAAAAATTTGGTTCAATAGCTCTTATGGTTATCGAGATATCACACATTGAAGATTTTTAATAAAAATATCAGGGGTAAGTATGGATGTAAAAAAACGAAGTTTTCTATTTTTCACTTTTTCCAATCGAAAGAGGAGGTTAAAATTAGTTCAAAACAAGTCTTACATTTTTTCAAATAGCAGATTTAAGAAATTTCAAAAAAAACATCCTTTTTACCAATAGAAAATGTTTGATGTCCTGACATAGTCTCAAACATTTACTCGCAGTTTTCGTAATTTCCAACGAATCAACTTGTATTATAGGTTTTCTGAAAGAGAATTAAATTCTTTATAAATCCTGTAAATTTGAATTCAGTTCCTTTTATAGGTTTCGAGAAATTGAGCCTGAAAGTTAGAATTTTGTTAGAATGTCGTCCAAAACTTCAAGTTCAAATTGCTCAAAAACTATAGGTGGTACAAATATTTTTTAAATACCACATTGAAGCAGCCAATGAGGGTTACAAACTCAGAAAAAATTGACTCGATACCTCTTTTAGGTATCGAGATATTATACATTAAAGAATTTGAATAAAAATATCAAAGGGGTAAGTATTGATGTAAAAAAACGAAATTCTCGATTTTTGACTTTTTTCAAATTTTTACTTTTCCAATGGAAAGAGGAGGTCAAAATTAGTCAAGAACAAGTCTTACATTTTCTAAAAGTAGATTTAAGAAATTGCAAAAACTCGCTTGAGTTTTCGTTTTCTTGTAAATTTTTCGAAATAGAGAAATTCAAGAGTTTGGACAAGAAATAAAATATTTTGTGTCTAGTCGCCTTTTTCTTAATTTTAATTATAGTTCTCCTCTTTATGTCTCCATTTTTCCATCTCAATTTTTGTCTATATTCCCATCTCTTAAGTTTCCATTTTCTTGTGAATTTTTTCTGAATAGAGAAAACTCACGAGTTTAGACTAGAAATAAAATATTTTGTGTCTACTTGTCTGCCAATTTTTCTCGAATTTCTTCTTATTCGGACTTATAGTACCTGAGAAAAAATCGCGTTAAAGAACCCCACCCAATTCTATATACTTTTATCAGTTCTTTTTTCCAGATTTTGATAGCCAATGTTACTGCAATGCCACTTTTTAATACTTTGTACGCAGTTAGAGCACCAGATGAAGTCTACGAAAATTCCTTGGATTTAATCTACATCAACGAACTAGAACACCAACAAAACAGACTAATTAACATTGATAAATATATAAACAGTTTACAATAATTATGTTGATCCTTGATATTATTTTTGTTATAAGTACACAAGTTAATTATCTCCAAGGCTTGTTTACGTAACTGAAATGTCCCGTCCCTGATGGCCAAAAAGGACAATAATAAACCTTAAATTAGACTCAGCGTTTTTTTTTTCCCCTTCCTTTCCCAACCCAAACAGCCTTCTTGTTATCTTAGGTTAGTTACCGGCAAATAAAACATATCTTGTCTGAGGCCAATTATTTCAATTTTGATGACAAAATAATAAATAAACATAATGATAATGCCATCGGGAGTTCGTTAGTCTTATTGTGTGTCGATTTTTATGAGGATAATTCCGCTTCTCTGTTGTTGCCCTTTACGATTTTCTTTTTATTGGAATTAGGGATTGATTGCAGAGCTTATCAAGTATTAATTATATAAGTGTTGTTTTGTGTTTTGGTAACAAACCATCAAAGAAAACTTATCTATAAAAAAAAGCTGGATTCTATGTCAAACAAAATTAGGCAAAATTTAACCAAGCTTGAATTTTAACTCGGTCGTAATTCGTTCCATTTCACGTGATCCTATGAAGTTTCATAATTTAATAATATATGACAAGGGGAAATTAGAATGACGAGGCTGAACGCAAAGTTACGCAAAAACTCAAAGCAAATTTCGCTTTTAGCTTGGGGCATAAGAACAAAATACAGGAGTCGTAAAAAAGGAGTTAATTGAAATTGCCAGACGGTTAATAGGATGGAGGAAAGTCTGTTCGTAATGGCTGATGGATTAAAACTGGGGTATGCGTGTCAGTTTTTATTTTTGGATACCTACATTGGAGAAGACATTTTTTTCCAATTTCCACGTCAGGAACATTTATTGTTTTTTGCTTTTTACATTCAATTATTCCAAAGATCTTTTTTTGTTGTCTTACGAAAAAAATAGTGACTGGAAGCATATTATTACGATCAACTGATTCTCTTAATTATGTCTTTACCTGGTTACGCTGGCCAGTTGTTCTTTACTTCAGTTCATATTCTGATCTTTGAATAGAACCTATATTAAATTCCTGATTGGAATTTAGGAGGATGCTCAGAACACTTGGTAGTTTGTTGTTTGTGGTTTGTAGGCTGGGTTAGTACATCCGAGAAGTTTGGTAACAGTATTTCCAGGTCTACTGATTTATCAGCAGATCTACTAATTTGGCCACTGGTCTACTGATATACTGATATCAATGTAAATTCTACTGATAAAAGACGTTGTCATTATTTACCTGCTTTTTATGATATTTTTTAAATTGAAATCTTCTTTGAGAATGTCACAGCAATAATTCCATACGCGATCTTTGGGCTAGGACTTCTAGGAGTGTCCTCTGAACGACGTCTGCCCTATTACTCCGATCAGTCCGGTGTGATTTGTATTGAAACAATCGTGGTGGCTTTTTGTCAATTCGCCTTTCAACAGGAATTAGTGATATTACTTTACCAAACTAGTAATATATTGTGACAAGTTATTCAAGTACAAACGAGTGGTTTGTTGTGGAGCTTATGAGTGGACCGCAGCCATCTATTCATCAATATGATGTTTAATTACGATACTAACCTGACTCTCTCAAATGTGAGTTATTCTCATTACTTTGAAAACTACATGTTTCAGGTGAATGTTCAACAGTATATTGGTGAGTATAGTAGTAGTAGATAAAAAATGCAAAAATGGAGATCCGTTTGAATGATAATAGTCCGATGACCTACAGACCTTATAGACTTTCAGTGCATGAGAGAGAAAATGTCCGTGAAATAATTAACGAATTACTTTCGGGTAATATTATAAAAAAGTCAAAAATCACCATATTTGAGTCCAATTGTTCTTGTAAAGAAAAAGAATGGTTTTCTAACGCGAAATCCGTGAAGGATTGTTATCTCGATTGTTATCCACTACCAACGGTGGATGAACATTTAGAAGTACTTAAAGAATACAGGTACCACTTTGGACATGGCAAGCGGCTATCAACAAATTTCTATGGCAGAAAATTCTAGAGAGAAAATAGCGTTCGTAACACCAGATGGCTAGTACGAATATCTGAGGATGCCGTTTGGATATATTAGTCAACGCTCCAGCAGTTTTTCAACGCACCATTAATCAGATCTTAGGCTCGATGGAGGTTTTCGACAGCTTTAGCCTACATGGATGAGATTCTGGTACCATCGCCGAATGTAAGTTCAGGATTGCTGGCTTTGGGAGACGTCCACGAAACATTTAGAAATGCGGGAATTACTCTGCGACTCTCAAAATGTTGTTTTTTTCGAGATATGGTCGAATATCTTGATCATGAAATTAGTTCATTTGGAGTACGACCTGGTACCACAAAAATTTCAGCTGTTCAAAATTTTCCTGTTTTTCGAAACGTACCTACATCAAATACTACGACAATTTATCAGTTTATATAGCTATATGTATATATGCCAGAAATTTTGCACACATAGCTCGTCCGTTAACTTCACTCACTAAAAAGGATATTGCTTTCAATTGGGGTGAATCTCAGAATAGTGGATTTGAAAAACTTAGAGAAATTTTGATTAAAAGGTCCATTCTTGCAATTAATGACTCTAAACTAGAGACAGAAATCCACACTGATACCTCCGAAGACGGGCCGGAATTTTATTACAGAGGCAGGAAGATGGCAATTTAAAGCCAGTACCTACTGTACTTTAGCCACCCACCAAACATCAACAGAGGAGCAAAAGTACCACTCCTATGAGCTGGAGACTTTAGCCGTAGTGTGCTCGTTACCTAGAAGGCGTTTTTTTAAGCTTATGTCCTATTGTTGTTTTTCTATAGGGTACACTTGGACGAATAGCATTTTTCCGGGACGGAAAAAGGGGTAGCATGGCCGACTGACTCAATCAAATGTGCGTTATTGTCATTAGTTTAAAAACTACATGTTTCAGGTGACTGTCTTACTTGAGCAGTTCAGCAGTACCTATATTGGTGAGTAGATGGCTGCGGCACTCGCTGCGCTCGTCCCGCTAAGGTCCATCTACTATAAGTTTCGCAACAATCCACTTATTTGTACTTGAACAATAACTTATTATATAAAGTCAGAATTTGTAAAATTATGATTATTCACTTTTTGTCAATTTGTCTTTCAACAGGAATTAGTAATGTTACTTTACAGAACTAGTAATATAATGTGACAAGTTATTCAAGTATAAATGAATGAATTGTTGCGGAACTTATGGGTGGACCTCTGCGGGACGTGCGCAGCGAGTTCCGCAGCCATCTATTCATCAATATGTTGTTTAATTACGATACTAAACGGACTCACTCAAATGTGCGTTATTCTCATTAGTTTAAAAATTACAGGTTTCAGGTGAATATCTTACTTGAACAGTTCAGCAGTATATTGGTAAGTAGATGGCTGCGAAACTCGCTGCGCTCGTCCCGCAGAGGTCCACTCATAAGTTCTGCAATAATCCACTTATTTGTACTTAAACAATAACTTATTATTTAAAGTCAAAATTTATAAGATTATGATTATTCACTTTTTGTCAATTCACCTTTCAACAGGAATTAGTAATGTTACCTTATCAAACTAGTAACATATTGGGACAAGTTATTCAAGTACAAATGAGTGAATTGTTGCGGAGCTTATGAGTGGACCTCTGCGGGACGAGCGCAGCGAGTTCCGCAGCCATCTATTCATCAATATGTTGTTAAATTACGATACTAACCTGACTCAATCAAACGTGAGTTATTCTCATTAGTTTAAAAACTACATGTTTTAAGTGAATGTCTTATTTGAACAATTCAACAGTATATTGGTAAGTAGGCAACGCCCCCCTCAAAGTTCCTGAAATATATCGAAAGTTGGGAAAACTTGGATAAAAAATTTAAAGTTGGGAAAAATTGGTAGACAAAAATTTGCGAGGAATAATTAAAATTAACAAACATTAAGATCGTGTCACGTGTTGTAATGAATTGCAAAATCACCGTACAACAGGTTGACGAAATCCCAATGGTCGAGGCGATCTCGCCGATCTCTTGCGTTGCACATTGCACTGCACTAGCACCACTAGCCTGTGGCAGTGGCACGTGGCATTCGTGACAGTAGTGGCTCTAGCGCCACTAGCACTATTCACTATTCGAGAGTCAAGACCGACGACCGACGTAGTTATATCTTTAACAAAAATAAAAACAGCAACGCAAAATATTCACACATTGTTCTATTTTAAGAAGAAAAATTTGTAATTCAATTCAATAGGGCAAGAAAACTATTTGCACCTCTTTCATATAAAAACGAATATAAATTGAAAAATCACAATCACTAAGTTGTTTATTTGAATATAATGTATATTAATAATTATGTTTATTGTATGTTAATTGATTTCTAAGTCCTCTAAACAACTCGATAGGTACATATCGATCAACTCAAACTCAACGATTATATAAGTTTAATTTGTTTGTTTGTCAGCGGCATACTATTTGAAACGGCGTCGCTCAAATATATTTAGTCACATGTAATGGAAACGTGTCGGGTTTTCCTCAACGTTTGGCTGTGGAGGCGGATACTTAGCATATCTACTACCAACACACTTTCCATGGTGACATTGTGAAAAAAAATAAACTAGTATAATTGGGGCTTCGGAATATGCCGTTGGAAAATATTTAATTTTTGAACTGCAATTATCGAAAAGGTAGGAGTTGAAAATAGGTATTTTGTCAGTAACAGCTTCCTGTACTTTCTGGAAATAAACAAAATCACCACAGACATTTTTTTGTGATTATTGCCTTGAAGTTTCTGAGGTAAAGAAAGTTATAAGTGAATAAGCATAAAAGAAATTTTTCCAAGAAAATTTGGCCTAAAGTAAATTCTCAAATTCGCTTCAATGAATGAAGCACTTGATGACAGTGAAGCATCAAAATGAACAGAGCATCAATCACACTACCGAATAGGTAATGAAACGATTTAAATATTGACTGATATAAAAAACAGCTAAAAATCCTTGAAGAGACTTAAAATGAGTTTTGCTCTTTCTTACTTTAGAAAAAAATATCTCCACGAGCCGTAATCGAAACAAAGATATTCAGAAAACGTGTTCTCCACGTGTAATGGGAATAAATTGACTCTTAAACCCTCCAAAAGTCAACACGAACTAC